AGCCTGAGAAAATCTGATTGGCGGCAATTTCCTCCGGCTCCGTTCACCGTTTCCTTTCCGTCATCGTATAATTTTTCTTCTTTGGTTGATGCAAAACCGTGTTATGCAAATGCAAAACATCGTCGAAATACCACTTCTAATTTATGCGCGCGTAACAATTTAACGACATCCACACGTGATTCAAATATAATACTTTTAATTCAATCATGATTCTCCGAAATTAGCGCCTACGGATTCATCGCCGTAAATATCACGCGCAGATTTTAGTTTATTCAGCGATCTGCGAAGCGCAGACGTAGCGTAATTACAGCGCTGTCTTTCTTATCGTAGAAACTTCACGAAAACGCGGGGCATGTCGTGCTCGTAATGAGCTCTCCGTAACGGCTTAAGGCGGTACGACGGCTCGGCGAAGAAAGTTAGTTATTTACTCGCCAGTGCTCTGACAGCTCGTTTACGTACGCAACGCTATTTCATTTCCTAGACGTTTCCGGATAGGCACTTTCGCGGGCAAACACATTAAGGCGCGTTTGACTATTGCTCCAGTTCTTCGGTGTAGGTCTTTCAGGATATTTTCTGATTTTACGATCCCCATGTTTCTTTTTTCCTAGTCCTCTCTGACCTACGATCCACCTTCTTTTTCCGGATTTAACTTTGTTTAATCGAGTCACCATTTGCAAACACAATATCTTTCGTGACTTAATAATTTGCTTTATAAAGCTGCGTTTAAATATGAATCCATTTTTCAAACTTATCTTTTAATTTTTCTCCTGGAGAAGAATAAAATGTAGATATTTTGAAATATATCAAGTATATATACAGTGCCGGTACGGTTAAAAATATATCACCTTTATATTTATTCAGAATAACTTAATTCAAAGTGCATATATTTTAATCAATTTTTCTTGAGTTTGTCTGTCTTCATTATTGAATGAAAAGTTTATTGTTCAGTAATTTACATACTTAGTATTAAGCATATTTGACTAGATAGAAATATGTGCACTTTGAATTAAGTTATCCTCAAAAAATATAAAGGTGATGTATTTCTGACCGGTACTGTATATCACATAAATGTTTTAGCGACTCTGTACATTTCTATTTTTAATAACCGATATTTCTGGCACAGGACATTTATATAAGTATCGCTTATATATATCGCGAACGTAAAAATACGTTCTTCGACGTCTTTGAGTCAGCAAATATAAACTTAATTATCGAAAACTCATTACAATTTGTTTCTGCGAGAAACGATCTTTTAAAAGGAGACCGAAATAACTTATGTCACTGCGATAAAAAACTGTTCTCACTCTTGCATGCGAAAAAATTTGTTCGCCTAATGTGCGCCGGCGAGAGAAGGGGGAAGGGGGGGAGGGAAAGCAGAAATTTGAACTGCTCCATTTCCGTCCACGGAATAATTGTCCGAGATTCCGGTCACGAGTCACCGGAACTGAGAGCCGTTAAGCCGGAACTAATTGAACTGTTGTTAAGGGGAGACGGTCAGAGGTGAGCGCAAGGGTGCTGTAACTTGGGTATTATAGAGATTCTCTGACAGCGTACCACCAAATCCCCGGTGATAGATCCCGCGACATGATGGCCCGTGATGCTCGGAATCATTATTACATTCGGTAAATTCTCGAGACAGTAAAGAGAAGCATCGAATATTCCCTCATTAATACGAAGATCCATGTTGAAATTCAAATTTATAAGTGGCATGCATGATTATAACGCCTGTTATCTCTTTTCAATGTAAATAATTATTGATCTACTTGCGTCTTCGATTATACGATCGGTAAAGATATTTTACTTTTATAAAAAGTTTTTTTTAAATATTTTTCTATTTTTAAATTACTACAACTGAATAAAAAAAATATTTGAGATATATGATAATCGACGAGGAAAAAATAATTATTTTAACCGCGTACATCGAGACTGGAAGTTCTCATCAACGAGTCGAAAAAACCGACAAAACGTTGACAGAAACGCGGTGGCGGAGATGAACCGCGGTAGAGCGGATTTTTGTTCCGCGGCAGGAGAAAAACATTCCCCGGCGTGAAACTCTTCACGGTTGGCAGGATGTTTGGCTGGCAGCCACCCTCGTGGTCTAGGCTCGTTTACAGATGACGAAAACTCGACCGTACATATGTAGATATAATATTATTAAGCGGAGTCATGTTACTTTTGGACATGTGTGACGGCGAGCGCTATAAAGGTGCAAGAATAAAATACAGAGGGGGAACTATTTCGGTTCGAACGAGCACATAGTCATCGACTATGACGATAACCGTAACCCATCGAAGGGAGAAAGAGGAAGAGGTAGTCAGAGAAAATGGCCGAAAACAAAGGAGGGAGGACCTGTCAGCTTCCAGTTTCGTACTTTCCGCGCGTCGTTTGCCGAGGGTGTGAATGCTGGTACTTCGATGAATGCTCTCCGCCGCTTTGGACGACGCAGTTGCAGGAATGTACGCGCAATGAATGAATAGAGTTACCCACGCATACGCGGGTGGTCTCGAAGCGAAACATCTTTGGCCATCGCGAGACATTTCGGTTCATATTATCGATACACGGGGAACATTTAGCGATATATTGACATAATAATAATATATTGATATTTGACGCGATAATATGTTGACATCTGATGCGATTTCTTCATCTGATTTGATGCTCCGAGGCATGCTTAGCGAATAGAAAAATAAAAAAAATAAAAAAAATAAATTACTTAGTTTTTAATCGAGGGCTCGGAACCTTTAATGAGGTTCAGCTTTTCTGCTCGCGAAAGCGTTAATCACATTACGTCTATACGGGAGATGTTCGATTGCACGACGATTTACGTCGCTTTTGATCTAGATTTACGACGTCGAAAGTCTCCAGACAAGTGCAGCTTTGCATCCGTGGAAAAGATAATTGTTTTCCGCGCCGTTGTAACGGGGACGTATACGTCTGACGCGGAGGGCGGACGAGCATCGTCGCGGAAAAAGCAGCCAGACACCATCTCCGTTGTCGTCGTCGAGAACCAGGATGAGATGCGGCGAAGTTCGCAGCGGTGCACGCACGCACATATGCAGGCAAGCAGCAAGCAAGCAAGCAAGCAGACATGTAGACACGCGTGGCTGCGAAAGAAAGGGCGTTGTCGGTGATGGGGAGGGAGGAGGGAGGAGAGAACGTCTGGCTGGGCGTCTAGTCCCATTGTCCACGCACGCGGATGGGTTGGCTCTTTACTGAAATGCAAACCTGAGTTTTTTTCCGAGGGATGACGGAGTAAGGGGTGGAAGAAGAGGTGAGTCGCCTAAGGGATGACTCGGCCGACGATGCGACCCCCGATGCGACTCCTCGTCGCGCAGACTAGGGGTTCGCAGGTATTTTCCGACACCCCCGACAGACCATGAACTTGCATCGCTCTACCAGCATCACGATGTCTTTCTACTTTTAATTGTTGTACGCGTCGCGAACGGTGTTTCAACGTTATTCAAGATACAGGGAGTAATATCTTTTTTTTCTCTCAGTCGCGTTGTATAATGAAAGCGAAAATGTGATAGAATGATAAAATATGATAGATGATGTTATCGTAATTACTCTTTCATAAGATAGATCTTTCGACGATCTAATTCTTCACGTGGACCATTGTTGGAAAACTGTGATTAAAACATGATTTATATATGTATGGTGCACGAAGTTGCGAAGAGAGATATTATTTAGTTTATACGCTGTGCCTTTATCTGTTTTATTCTAGCGGCGCAATGCATCATCATAACATGTAATTAACTTACACAGTCCATTGTACCATATGCAGAAAAGGCAAATGTATACTCGTATTCTTAAAAAAAAATGTATTAGGTTTTCTCGCAGAATTCACACAGTTTTTTCATTATTTCAGTAAATGTGAACGCGCAATAACTTTATATAAATGTTTAATGTCTAGCGCGCAAAGTTGTAAAACGATTATATTCGATTCTGTTAAGCTTATTATACAAACATATTTAATCTATGCCATTTTTATGATTAAAGTAGTTTGAAAATATAGATACTACGTCGCTTTATACAGTCTACCGTACTCGGACGAGCGAGTGTAGGGTGAGTCGTCTCATCAAAGAAAACGGAGAATGGCGGAGAATCATAGTCATCCTGCTATCCTCGTTCTATCTTTCAAAATGGAGTACGTGCAACTATTTTCTTCTCGCACTCTTCATTCCCTCTTCCCTACTCAGCTATCCGACGTCCCTTCCATCGACTTTACCTTCCTTACTCCTGCTCTTCTCATTCCGCCTTAGATGCCTTCTATGACTACCAGAGACACGGCAGTTTTGCCGATTTAAGGTTGTCGAAGTTATAAAGCTTCTCAAGCGTTCCCTCGGGTTCGCAAGTTTTCCTGAAAGTCCTCCGTTCTCCGACTACCCATTTCCTTCGCCCCTCGCTGCGCCTTCTCGACACGCAGCCTTTTTCCTCTACGATAACCTGCAACGTGTCAAAGGAGTAATTTTCCTGTTTCGTACTTGAAGTTTCTCTTGGTTATTTACCTGTAAGCGAAGATAATGCTCGCTATAGCTCCACCATGGGAGAACTTTAGGTTGCACATTATATCCATGGGATATGAATTGGTATTGGGGAAGAACTTCACGCGCCCTCGTAAACCTTCTACATACCGCGCGTATATTTCGACATACCTTCTACTTGATGGATCGTGTACGCCATATTTAGACAGTTTGAAGGGAAGTTGGAAGTTTTGAGTAACAAGCTTGTACCTTTGCTATAAAGCTACTGTGGTTGTACATGCATATACTATTCAATGAATCTAGTTCGCTTCGAATATTTTTATCTTGCAATTTGTGAAACACTTTAAATTTATTTTCAAAAATTATATTTTACAATGTATTGGAAATCATATATACTCATATTTAAAAAATATAAAAAATATGTGGGTTACATTTAACAATAAGGAATTATTTTAAATTTAATGTTTGATTAAAATTCACGAACCATTTTCAATCATAACATTTCTATTGTTTCAGACATGTTCCGATAGTTTCGAGCGTTGGTGGTTTGCTGGAATAAGAATGCCGCTATGTCGGCGCAAGTGCGCAGTGTGACGACCGTCAGATTACATGCGACAGAACGATTGTTTTAAAGAAGATCGTACACCTGTGATAGTGCAAGCGCAGAAGAGATCGTGCGTTACACACGCCATCGAGAGGGAGAAGCGCTCGAGGATAATGGTGAGTTTGTTTTCAATGAGTTTCTCTGTTATTTTGACCGTTTCACCGACGAGTTATTATTTTCCGTTGAGGGAACACGGCGATCGAACGCGTTTAAATGTAAATTACCGGCCATTACCGGCTCGGTTTTCTGTCATGGAACCGTCAGCGGAACCGCTGAAGGATATTGTATATATTCGGCAGATATTGCAGGTTTTGCACGGCACCCTATTCCACGCAAACGCGCAGAGCTCCTCTCTCCTGTCCTCCCAGATTTTGTCCTCGGTCGTGGAACGGTTTTTCAATTTGCCACTTCTTTCGTACCGTTGTCTGTGCAATCCCGTGCTAGTCGTACCTCGCTCTCGCGCTCGTACCCGATATCGAAGTTTCAGCAATTGATTTTTCGGAGCTATTCGGGAGGCTTTTGGCGCAGCGCGGTGAATGCGAATTCATATCCAAGTTTATATTGAAGCATGAATTAGCGATACACGACCGGTATTGCTTTTCATATCGATGTCGAGCGAGGCCTGTGCGGAATATAAAATATATTCATAAACTCTTGGTATACAAGTTAATAACATCAAGTATTTATAAATATTTTATCATTTCACATACGATATCGTATTCGATAACGTATGCAAAATATTTTCTATTTGACTATTCGCATCTTTCTTTCTTCTTCTCTCTTTCAATTGTATTCAATGACGTATTCGCAACGTTTCCGATTTTATACGATTCACGATAAAACTGACGATGATTTGTGAGGCATCCTCAAAGGATTCGCGCAGCGCGAGATAAATATAAACGGATGTATGCATAGGCGTGTAACATTAGGTGATAAACATAGGTAAGACTGAGCTTTTTTCACAAGGGTTCACGCACGCGCGGGAGGAGCGTGTCGAGATGTGCGTGCCCGGGCGAAATGCATACGAAACGTCAAATGCACTCAGCGCAGTCCATCAAAATGCAAATGTCTTTTATCCGCGGTGGTAATATATGCGTCGGTCGAGAATCAGTATTCAGGTTGAGCGTTGGGCCGATCCACCCCTGCGGTATCAGGGCTCGAATGTATACGCGCCATCCCGGTAGTGGATCCTGCCGGGCGGTTACGATGGGACGAACTAACCCTCGAAGGAAATGCCATGGAATCTACGGCACTCTCTTTCGGCCAAATCTTTATTTTACGACCGATTCGGCGTATCAATGGCAACCGCGAAGACAGGGTCCGCATCACGATTTTCAGGATGAAACGTAATCGATCTTAATTGATATCAGTCTTTCAAGTCCTGAGTACATCGACGCGAATACCCGCAGTTTTATGTCGCTCGTAAAGCAGATAAGCTGAATCCAATCTCATTTAAGTACCTGGACTCCCGTTGGTTTGTAGATTTTGAGAAAATGGCTCGTATTTATAAGACTGTTTTCTTAAATAAATGCTCGGGAATTCGTGATTCTATTTGTAATGTGAATCGATATATCGATAAAGATTTGAAGTATCGATAAGTTTTAATTGAGAGAGTTAAATAAGATGTAGAAACTATATCAAATTTTAATTATTTGATTCTTGCTTATTGGGCGGATGCTCTGTATTTAGGAGATAAACTATAAATCTTCTAAAGTAACGAGCAAGCACATTGAATTTTCATAGCTGTTAAACGTTACAATCGCGAATTTTAGAATCTCTTTTTCTGGGATTTTAAATAGAGAAGAAAAGTCCGCTGTTTCTCTTTATTAAGTTCTTTAAGTCGAGCCAATCGATTAGAAAATTTAACGATTTTATCGTAAAATTAACGATTTTATCGTAAGCTAAATTGAATCCAGATATGCAATGATTAAGGTCGAATGCTGCGCTTATAGAAAATGAAACAGAAGAGAAAGAAAAGATTCGCGTTGGATATTGTGTATATTTTTCGCAGCATTGACTATATGTGTGTTGACTATAAGGCATTTCTCTGTAATACGGTTTGTTATTAAATCCGTCGCAACGATTGTTTGAAGAGTTTTTCCGTTGAAGGGCCCGCGTTCCTTTTATTACGAGTGCTTAAATAGAATAAGATGTTATAGTCCCTTTCACCTGCGCACCGTAGCGTTAAACTAAGAACTGAGACTCTCCCTCCCCAGAAAAACGAGTTTTAAGATAATGTCTTAATGGTAGAGCGAATTCGCGAGCGTAATATTACGCTATTCTTTGCGCAAACGATGGCAAGCCGGTAATGCCATTGCGAGAGTCTTTTATTATTTATATCTGCATCCTTTTGCAATATTATGAACAGAATCGTTATAATGACATTCTACGTAGTACGAACGAATACATGTGCAAGATTGATTAAATCTTACTATTGAGTCCACGTGTTGCGATAAATGAGATTTTCTTTTTCTCCTCTTCTCTAAAGAACAATTGTTAAAACTGACTCGTTCAGTAGTTGTATTTAATCAATCGACCACTCATCGTTGAATATATCCATCATGACGATGAGATTACGATACAGCGATATCGTTTGAATTACATAACAGGATTGATTCGAAATCAATCGTCCGATGGTAGAATTGAAAAAAAAGAGCAGGATACGAGATATTTTGTGCAACCAATGCCGTTGAAAGTTTCAACGAAATACCCGATTTCATTCGGTCGAACGATCCGGAACGATCGCCGTTTAATCGATCACCGGTAAAAAAAAGTTTAAATGAGTTTCTATTCTATCCTTCCTTCCGCCTTTTGTTTCTCAATTTCAAAAAAATATCTCGTATACGTCTCTTTTTTAATCTCGCCCCTCTTTTTTCCTCTCTCCTATTCTAATTACAAAAATTTTTACCAATTTATTCTATTCATTAACCACTCGTTTATACGTGTATGCCAATTCCTTTTGAAACGCGTAACTTGTGTCACGATTATTTATATAAGTTTCGCAACAGCTATTACCAACTCACTTATCGATATTGGCAAAGTTTGTTTGCTAAATATATTCATTGAGCTATACGTTGTGACAATACAGCTATACAAAGTGTTATTCTCACTGTAGAGTGAAATTTTATCGATTAACTGCCATTTATTCCATGATTGACTGGCCAGATCATTATAGTCTCTTCACAAATTATAGATAAGATAAATCTTAAATTTATTATTATTAAATCTTACATTTATCTAAATTATATCTTAAATTATATTCTGAAATAAATTTTTTTTCTCAATCGTATAAAGTTTATTGAAATAAAGAAATTTTAAATTGAAATATTTAACGCAAGTAGCCGTACTTGTTTTTTTGCTATTGTTATAGGAAATGACATGATTACAGCATTGGTGCTAACGTATAAAATCAATGATTATAATGGGGTTATGTTTCACGTGAGAAGCAATTCGCGCTTTTGCAAAATCACCGCGTGTTCGCTTGGGACGATGTAGAGAAGGAACGAAGGAAGGGTATTTATTCGACTACGACGGGGTTGTATCGCGTAGCCACGTTATAAAAAATTTGCATGCGCAAGCTCGCGCGGAATCGCGAGGGAGGTCTGCATACTAATAAGTTGCCGTAAGGCGCGAATACGAAGGGAACGGAAAAATTAAGAATGGAAAATGCTGGTCAAACTAAAGTATACTTAGCTATACTTCAAATACCGGAGCTGCGAATGATAGGAGGAAATGAAGGTGGGGAAAAAAAGGAACGTGAGCAAAGTAAAGACACGGAGGTAAAGCAAACATCTCCATTTCCCGAGAAATTCGCGTTGCGAGAACAAGAGATTGTAGTTCGACACGACGCGGGGGATCCTTTTTTCCCTCTTGTTAAAGAATTTTTTATTGTGTTTTTATACAGAGTCGTTTGCCTGGAAAGAGGCATTTTATTTTATCGAATTAATCGGTAGACATTTAACGTAGCGATGGTATAAGATCGAAAGATTTACCAAGACTCGGGAATTATTTCCTTCGATATTTCGAAAATCTTAATCGGAAAACTTTTTCAATCGCATCTCCGTATTATTATCATTGTATCAGAAATTGTGGTACCGCGAGCAGATTAAAATGAGGAAGAAAAAGGAAATTAAATAAAAAACCGATAGCATACGAAGTCGTCGTATTTTTTTTTGCGACGTAATTGGTAATAATGGAACCGCATACGTATCGAACACGAGATTTACCTTTATGCATTTATGGTTACTATAGAGTCATTTATAGCGGCGTTATTCTCCCGTACAAAATACCGTTACTATCCGCGCGTTGGTAATAATGGATGGGCCAGCTTGCGAACTCAAATCATTGGATTGATGGAGCACGCAATTGTGCTAGCATAAACCTTTGGATTATCTTTAGTTAGTTTCCCTGCTTGCATTATGTTTATGCGATTATGGAAAATCCATTTATCAAATATATATCCGCTGCATTTATATGATTTCCGCATTTATAATACATTTCTGAAAAAGCAATGATAATATAATAATAAATATTACAAAATATATTAAAAAAACATATATTAAATGTGTTCCGAGTTTTCATCTCTGCAATTAAAACATATTATATAATTGTATAAGGTATAATCGGTTAATTGTTTGAGAAATTGAACGCGAGATTGCAAAAGAGAAAAATTCTAGATTATAATAAGCTTTCAATTTGAGATCAGAATTTAATTGGTCTGCGAAAGATATCAATCAACGATCTTTTTATAGAATCAATTATCTTTTATTTTAGTCGTTATTGCACAAAGAAAAAGTCTGCTTGAAATTCAACAAAGAAAGTTACCGTGCTATTTGTTCCAACCGTATTCATTCTCCTTTCACAAAGAAATCTTTTTACATCTATAGACAAAGAATTTTTAATTTTTTATCTCTTGGAAAAAGCACATTATACTTTATGATTCGAATAATGTCGTACGTTAAGCTTAGAAAAGTGCGTAAAATATTGCTTCAGCGATAGCCCGATTCAAAGACGAATATCTATTAACCCCCTCGTGGAAACTCGTGGTACACCCTCTGGTTTGCAAAATTTATGCGATTCCCGAAATGCCTGGCCCTCGTGCTGTCGGTACGTGAGA